CAGATGTTTACCAGTTATCTAGTGAATATTGAAGGTCGAAAAAAGCCGAATTCATTGATGTAGCGTGAAATCTTTCCCCACAATTACTAAAACTCTTTCATAGGCAACTTGAAAGACACAATACCTACCGAAAGAGGCTGGCCTACCAGCCACCAAATATTTAGCTAAATATTAATTGCTGCTAACAACATTGATGTAGCATTACAATCTCCAATTTCAGCCGAATCAGCCACAAGTGGATGTTCGTTTCGAAAAAGGAAATTGCGGTCGAAAATCCCCCTAGGATTTAACCCCAATTTCCATTCACTCTTATCTCACAGAAATTGCGGACTTAACTGTAACAACCTGTTCTAACCTTGGCTTTGTCTTTATGCTGTAGGTGAAGCTATCCGCTTGGCAAAGGACTTCAATTACCTCTGTGAGAACGACTTCCCTGTCACCACCACCGCCCAGTTTCTCCTGCGCGGTCTCACTAGCACGGCTCCCGGTACGATCATTGCCCGTCGAAATCAAGTTTGTGCGGCGAGGTAAGACCACTTATGCAAAGAAATACGACATTTCTGAGTGGAATTCTCCTTAATCATATATTTCAGTCGAGTATAACCATATGACGAGGAAGGAACTGATCATTGGATATTTCGACATATTTTTGTGGTAAGGGGTTTGCAAAAACAGGACATCAGTTATGCTTTAGCACTGAACTTGTTGCACGGTTTCTTTGATTGGGGATGCTCTAAGAGTGCTCATTATCCTCCAGACTGGGCACTTGTGACTGGTGTTGGCGTTACGTGGGACGAAAAAGGTTTGCAGCCTAACAAAATGAACCCTAACTTGCAATGGATGCGACCAACACATCTTTCTGTTGAGTTAGGGGAAACTTTAAGTTAGATCATAACAGGGGTAAGGGTTGATCATTCGACAGGTCTGGCTACTTACGTAGCGCACTGTTTATTTAGCGAAGGTGCTACTGTGGTTTCGAATCCACCAAAGAACACCTGTGTTACCGCCTATGCAGAACACCACAATAGGAATGCCCTGCTCACTAAAATAGGCAGCCTTACGATAAATTCCAATAGGAATGAATATTCTCGTGTCTTTACCCCAAACACTAACCCTAACCTAAAACTAAACTGCAAACTTAATATTAACTCTAACTCTTCATTAAACCTAAGCCCTGCAGTTAACACGAACCTAAACCTTAACTCTCAAACTGTGACCTTAAACGTAACCTCAAACTTCATTCCAAGTTTAATCGCGATCCTCATCGGCATCCTTAACCTACTTTCTCTGAAATGTGGGGCAAAGCCGCACACATTTATTTTCTCTGTATAGGCGGCCATACAATTATTCTCAGTCGTTTCAGTCTAAGCTGCGCAGCAAAGAAAGGTGTAGGATTGGGGTACAGAAGGTAGCTGACCGGTATCCGTGAACTAGTTTTATATATCTGACACCTGCTAAACGATGTGACATACTAAGAGAACTAAGTCAAGGCACGCGTTTCGTCGCTGAAGATGCTGGATGTCGGCTCAGATATTCACACAAACTTTCGACCTGAGTCTAAAATACTTTGTCCCCAGTACAGTCACAGTAATGGGATTATACTGATGGCGATAAGGCATAATGCGTGCTATTCTCTCCTCCCATTATTAAACCGATCCAATGGCGACTGCAGGCTCAAACAACTGGAGGGGAGGTTGAACTCAATAGGCACCGCCACATCATATCCTCGTCTACAGGCTCCATATACTTACCTGTTCACTGAACCAGGAAAGATTGGCTTGGGTTTCACAGAGGAAGAGAATACTATAAGACCGTGCGGACATGAAGGCATTGCGTTCTGACCCATAGTAGAGAGAACACCGTTTTCTCGTCAGTCTGTAGTCCTCCAAGCTCCAGTTTTTAACTAGAGACATTTCGAATTTATTATGTATATATACTTAATGGAGTTAATTGGAAAACGGTCTCACTTTTAACAATGACGCGTCGACGCATGGTTACGTGCCGTTCTCATCCCATTATGCCTACGGAGCTCCATGTAGGGTGATTCCTAGTATCATCTACATTATCTACAAAGTAAACTTAGACCGAGACTACTCACAATAAGTCAGTAGCTGTGTATGGTTACTGTTTTTGACGGACTGACTGACGGCTGCTCGCTTTTCGCCCACAACATGTAAACGACGCGTTTCTGCATTCTTCTTCTGTATCGATACATTTTCTAGTCAAATTTTTTCACCAAAAGGGAGCTCAAAGGTGTTTGTTTATCTTTCGCTTAGTAAAATGGAAGTGAAATAGTCATTTCTGGTTTGTTAACCGCCATCGGTCAGTCATAGTGAACCGGTGTGGAGCACATGAGATTTGAACCTGGGATCTTTGGTCATTGAGTTTAAGACGCTATCGCTGAGCCACTGGCGCGCGGTCTTGTGTGTTGTAGTCGAAAGTAGTAACTATGGTAGATGACTTATAAGCGCTCGTAAACCGGCCTTAAACAATCCTAGGTTCGGGACATCTGAGGCTCTAAGTCTCGTCCTTTTACTTATTAATTGGAATTAAATTTAACGCCTTGAAAACTGAACAACAGAGTTTGCTCTCATGTGCTCAGCACTATTACATAGTATAGAGTAGCACTCACCGATCCGGTTATGGAACATGCTCGTCCGATGGCGCCTTGGGGTTCAATCAAAAGTCTCATAGACTGTCACGCAACGGCTACCATGAACCAGTGGTCAGAGGGAGTTCCACTTTGCGGAATGCGAGAGCGGAGAACTGACTGATACGAAGCCTTTTTTCCGTTCTACAAATGCCACATATTCTCAGCAAAAGAGTGACACGAGCTGGACTTCGTACGAGGGCTTAAGTGATCACTGAAAGCTTGGTCATTATTTATGTTCAAGGCAGAAGTCTTTGTTAACTCAGTCATGATTTCTTTGTTCACGGTAGCTCGAATTGCGCGACCGGACAAGTGAAGGATTATCAAGATGGCATTTTGCATGCCGCATCGTTCAAGGCTTCGTGGATTGCTCATAAAATATAGGAAGAAACAAATTCTGATAAAAAGGAAATATAAGGTGTGAATTCTTTCCCAAGTCACGCTATATTCCACCGACTTGTAGGTGTCTTGCCTAATCCACATCTTAAACGTTCGTTGTGTATGAGCAAGTATGATCAATGAAATTTGTCTGATGATTAATGCCAGAGTTGGACTCGGGGTTACTCAGTCTGCATACTTCCTTTTTGTATATACTAACCATTCACACTGATGTTTACGCCTACACACCTCCTGTAATAAAGTAGCCGGCCCTATCATCCCCGACGATGTTTCAGCAATAAAACACGGGCCATTTGCGAGCCAATTTGAGCTGAATAAAATCGTCTACTCGTTCGAAATAAGTAACAAAATAATATGTTTCTTATTTCAGGCAGGTCATACTCGAACTGGCAGAGGCGGTTGGTAGCGAAAAGAGTTGTGCTTGGCGAGGCGGTGGACAGCATCAAAATACAACCCCTGGCAGGCTTACGTCCCTCCCAGACACTATAAATCAGCATTCACTGACGAACTTCAATCTCATTACTCACGGCTTCGGCTGCCCTACCGTTCTTGGCGTATTGAACATTTTGCAGCGTACACTGGCGGAGACTATGCGATGTATTGACAAGGACTATGGTTTGCAACATTCAAATGGGGTAGCTGGCATGCCTCCAATGGAGGGTGTCTCTAACAAGCAAATAATGTCGCGGTTTTTGCCATCCTCGTTGACACAGCATCCTCCGAACTTCCTGTACAACAACGGGCAACTATTCTACCCTTCTCCACCCCCCTCGCAGATGACCGGGAAGCTGCCGCCACCGGCTGAGGATCAGGATATGACCGCTGTGGCCCCAGTCCCCAGAGCTGGCCCAGGACGTATGGGTTAGCTCACCGGAAGAGCTAACACAGTCTTCATTTTTCCGTGATTTCATCATGACTTTTACACCCAGATACTTGCTACTACTATGTTAAAAGAGGTAGTGCTTTTTGTGAGAAATTGTCATAAAAGATTGAAACTTCATCTTCAGCTGTGTTAAGCAACACCATCTTCTGTCCACAATGAAAGTAGGAGCTCGTTCTATTGCAAGGGTGAACAAAGTTGACCGAGAAAAGCTTACTGTGTGTAATTGGCGGATCCATATCACTAGAGGGATGAGCTATGATAGAATTGATCCAGTTTCCATCAGACAAAAACGCGTGCTTGGAATCGAAGACGAAAAGGCAGGGCTGACCCAGGCAAGAAATTCGACAGTTAGTAGGGGGTTTGGCGGATTTAAGTAATTCGTCTGACCCAGTTATGAAAAAAATAAGCAGCTTCAGTAAAAGTCGGATCCACGCCAGTAAGGGGAGGACTTTAATACAGTCAACACTCAAGCTACGAGGCCTCCACCGGGAGAAATGAGTTTAAGCAATTTATATATTCGAAAGGTCTACTTTTCGAACATATGTTTTCGACAATTCACTATCGGGCCTGTACAGTTGCATTGAGAATGAAGAAAGGAGAGTCGGCCAGGGTTTATAAATGTCATATGATTAAAACTCGTCGTTTTCACACCGTCCGCATAGCGAAGTCGGCGTGTAAGGGTCATTGGACTGGGGGGAGGATGTAAAATACGTTAGGCTGGGAGTAATGATCATGGGCCGGGTACGCGGAGTGAAAATCACTGTCAAGCGTATGGAGTGAACATCTGTCACCAGAGGCAATGACGACATGCGACCGCCACCGGGCGTCGGCGTCGGTCGCGGAAGAGAAAGCGCTTGTATGAACCTCGTATAGCAGCACAGCAGTGGATTCTCTAGCCCTATAACCACTGCCTCGGCTGTTGCTAGCATCCATTGGCGCAGGCTCTCGGAGAAGTCGGATGGTGTCTGGTAGACAACCTGGGAGGCTTCGTTAGAATCGACTCAGCGATTCGTATCGACAAGGTGTACGAGAATAGAAGTCGAGATCGATCCAGTTTAAATATTAGCAGGGAAACTACCACTTAAAATGGGATCACTAATATACAGGGATTGAAGTGCCTTCGCAAATACAAAGATCTGCTCCCGCCAGTTTCTCCTTTTCAAGGATACAAGGATTTTGTCCCACCAGTGCCCGCATAAGAAAAGGACTATGCGACGGTGAAATGACTGCGTGGGCTTGTGTGTTGTCTGGTCTATGAAGCCGCTCTGGACACGCCGTTGAGGTACCATTACATTAGTATGGGTACAGTGTAACAGAACAATTAGAAAATTCCATGTCTTTTTGACTTCACTGAACGTCCAGCCGTCCGAATATGAACCAGTTCTTAGCCATATTTTTGTGGACGCCCAGTCTCGGGGAAGGGAACAAAAGAGAGATAGGCATAAGTATTAATGCAAGTGTGCAGTAAATTTGTCTGGTAGTCATCTGGTGGATTCCAGATTGACAGCTTCGAAAACCCTGCTTGCGCAGTCAGCTTGCTGCATCGGATTTGGGTGGATTCCATAAGTTGCAATTAGGGAGAGGAATGCTTTACTTAGAATGGAATATCCAAAACTTTCAGCAAAAAATGGCTCCATTCACGGAGAGCAAGCTATAAGGTAAGTAAGGGGTCATGGTAAAAGGTTAAAGGCAAAAGGTCAAGGAATACTCAAAATCAATGTTTTACACGATATCCACATCTACTAGGGAGACAGGTCAGTTTTCAACTTCTCAATTTCCGCTTCTTCACACATGAGATAACATGCTAGGAATGGGAGTACAGAGTGCTTCTATGG